TGCCTACTTAATGAAAATAAAGGGTGCCCGATGAATTTTTTGAAATAGGTCTTAATTCTGTGTCAGAGTTAATCATTCCCGAATGGTTGCTCTTATCCATGCTAGCAAAAAAATCTACTGCTAATTATTATCAACTTTCATACACATTGGATATTTTAAAATATATATTTATATATGTGTATATACCCAAATTAAAGTTTCAAATATTCATTTTGAATGCACTTTTGCCATTTTTTATTTCTTTACGCCATTTAGTGACGAACTGGAAAGTGCTCACCAACACCACTTTTTTCCTGATACCTTTGGTGTATGGTCGTCGCACAAGTTGCCGCATTCATTGCTTCCACCACCAACCTGTCTCTCTCGATCTCCTGAAGTCAACATTTTTTCCCCTTCCTCAGCCGGTTGGGCGTCTGCAACAGCGGAAACTTCTATGCTGCCTATTCCGATTGGAGAATCGCTACCGGGTTCTCATTCAGGTCCCTTGGTTTCCTTGCCTTTCCACTTGCATCCACCCCACCGTTATAATCAATCGGGAGATCTAGCCTCTTTACCTAGGCCACCAGGAAAAGACCATGATCTCCCATCGAATATGATTCAACTATCTGTTTCTTCGCGCTTGCCTTTTAGTAACGTTCCTCCTCTTGTCTCTTCGCAGAGTCAAATTGCACATTTCTCTCTTTCTGACTCGCCCCAATCACAAAACCACCACGTATCTCATCACCAACAGTCCAAACAGTCTCTACCACTGCAACAGAAGCAGATCTCGCTCCCCCACGATCAAATATCTCATCAATTTAGGTGTTTCGGCAGTGCCGATGAGCCATCCTGTTCATTTGTTGGTACGAATGCTTCTATTAACCTATGTAGCACAGGGAATACCCTTTCACTCAACAAGACATCGCAAAATTTAGCCTCAGTACAACCCCAACCGCAAGCTCTTCATCTTTCACTTGGACAGCCACCTGCCGCATCAAAAGAGCGTAACTTGGCTGAGCACGACCCAGCTGCATTTGTCCGTCTTCTTACAGAACGGCTTCAGCGTCTAACTTGCTCTGATCCAAACGTTATTCCTTCATTTTCACCAAATAAGGTACCGTGGCCCTTTGCAACTTCTTTATTTTTGTCATGAATTTTTTAGTTGTGATCCAGCTTACTCACTTTTTTTATTCGATAAAATTATTTTTATTTCTCTTTAAATAGTCTCTCAGGCCGCCTCTAATGTTATTTCTCAGTAATTACCATTGAAACAAATGACTGAGGACTAATTGTGCTTTCTGCTATGCTATTCTGCATAGTGTATAACGATGTGTTTGGTGTGATATATTTGAGTTCTCATAAATTTAATTTGAACAGAACATTATGCGAATAAGTGCACAATTTTTATATTATACATATTATTTTATTTCAATAGACCTAGACAGTAGTATGGTCATTTTGTTTCTAGTGATTGAAATAAACAAATAAATTCTTAAGCTGCATAAACCACTTGTCTATTACGCTGTTGCTTAGGAAACGCTGGCTTCCACAATACTAACTTAGTGCATACTATTTTTGCAAAATATTTATGTGAAATCCTTTTATGATCGAATCGGAAAAACAAATACTTTGTGGGTTAGGATTTGCTATACCATAACGCTTGGAGCATAATACAATCCAACAGAATTATTTTAAGCTAATAAACTAATACTTTTAATAATTTAATCAATCCAAAAGTATAAACAAGACGGGGAATACATTGAATGTAAGGAACGCTGGTAAAAAGTTGAGTAAATATTACGTGTGCCTAATTAATAGACCAAAGGATAGAGAGGGTGATGAGCCACCTGCTAAAAAGAGGCGACTCAACTAGTCTTTTTTTGTCTTGGTTCTAATCATAGTCACTTCTCTTTACTTTTAGCCCACTTACTCTCTCACGTGAAGACAAAAAAAGCTCATCAACATAACCAGACGTGTTTCGGACATGCATGTAGAAAGGAAGAGATAATGGTCATCAAACCTTGATGACCAAGAACAGAGGTTACTTTTGCTGTCCTAATTACTTTGAGTTATGACTGCTGGTTTCATCCATAGGCGAAAAAATACAGAGACAGACACTCAGGTGCTTAAGATTGATATATGACTGGAACTAACTAAATCACTTTATACTTTATTAAAGAGGTCAAACATAGAGTATATGTACACCTTTTTAGGGATGTGTCGGTGAGTTTTCTCGATTCGCTGATATCTTGCTCTAATCATGTTCGTCATATGATGGACGAAACTTTAGCACCCTATCGCTGGAATCGAATGAGATTACCTCGGGAACAGCGTCCACATGAATGTTCGAGTAAAGCTAATCGACAGCCGGGTAAGAGGAATCCGCTGTTGTCTTCTGGTGGAATCAATCTTCAAATCTCTTCATAAACACTTTCACTCGAAATGGAAGTAAGCTCGACAAATATGAAACAAGATATTCCTCTAAACCCAACTTTTCTTCGCATATAAACAAGAAAAACAAATTTACTTGCCATAGACACATTTTAGCTTATAATCCTGCGCAGGCTACCTCTTGCCTCAGTGTTTGACTACTGCAAATTATCATGCGTTGTTTAATTAAAGGATTTATCACTAGTGGCACTATTTGTGATTTTGCCTTCAAGATTAGATTTCTTAACTTTTTCCCTGAACAACGCAAAAGGCTCCTGTATAAAACATATTTGATATTGTTTTCGCAACTTAGTCGTATTTTCAGGTACACATTTCCGTGATAATACGACCAAATTGAGAAAGCAAGGTCAATCAAGTCGTACATAATGAAAGGAGATCGTGACCATACTAGAGGATTCATTATTTTGGTCTTCATACGTTCGATTAAAAACCTCTTGCTTATATTAAGATTAATTTTGAGGCAAAACACCATCTCATTATCTCAAAGCCTTGCAGTCAAAAAAAATTAAATGGTTTTGGCATATTCACTTTATAACATATGGATATGGGCATTGCCTGTCGGGAGGACTTCTAATTTGTCCCCAAAACACTCAAAATTTAGGCTTAGGTCTTTTATGATCA